GTTTTCAGTATGTTTTCATGTCTTTTCTCGCCCAATGATCAACGTCTAATGCCCCAGCCCCTCAAGTCGCACTGTCGCCATCAGTGTGACATTGGCTTCGATCTTCTGCTACAAATTGCAATGACGCTTTCCCATTGTCTTTGTCTTATTTTCTTTTGATCAACTTTCCACATCCACGGTCCAACTCACGGGCCGCACAGTCAAGATTCCCATAAAAACATACGCACATTTCTTGCACTGCCGCTTGTGTTTAAGGCTCCACCCTTCCTTTACAGGCTCTTTATTTTAAAACAAAACTTATTCATCTTTTGAATCATCTGCCTGGCTGCATAGCATGCAGTCACATCTAGACTTTTATTGCATGCTGCCATTCTTCCAGCTAGGCTGTCCAAAAGAGTGCCCAATGCCATGCTGAAAGGCGTTACAACGGATTGTTCATCCTCACCCTCTTCTTCTTGTAGAACGGATATGGAAACCGCAAAGTTTATTGCAAATTCAGAATCAACATGACACAATGTAGCTGCGCATGCCGCGACTGGGTCTACGTCCGACGGATTGCCGAACACCAGTTCACAGAACGACTCTGCCTCGAACAACGATTGACAGTACAGCATTTCGCTCCAAATGCAACTCATTAAAATTACATTAACAGAGACCTTCCCACACTGAATTGAAAGCGAAACAGTGAAAGGCATTTCACTGACCGAATGATCGGAAATAGAAAAAATGCATGGAACAAATTATAATTGATAATAGATGCTGCATACATAGCGCTAGCGGGCAGAGTGGATTAGAAGACGAGCAGAACTTTGTCATCCTCTTCTCATGATTCTGTCGAACGAAGCTTACTTTGTGCAGGTGAAATCCTGATAATTCGAATATGGCTTAATTCGAACATACCGCTTAATTTGGGGCCGTCCGTAAATATCGAACTTTTTTCACCAAATTTTAGGGTGCGTTCTTAAATCCTCTCGGAAAAGTTGGAGACTCTCCGAAAAGTTCGAGAGCTGTTCTTATATCCTCTCCGAATTTTAGGAGGCTCTCCAAAGCTCTCCAAGCTCTCCAAGCTTCAGAGGTGGTTGAAACTTGGAGATTCCCGCGGTTTGGGATCAGCGCATGCGAACTAGGCTAAAAGCCACGTGTTGATCATGAGTGTACGCATTTCCCTTTTCGCATACGCACAGCGCATACTATATTCGTGGCACTCAAGATCGCGGCCCCTTTGGCGCTTCATTTTGCTTGACATCTGCAAAATATCTCCGAATTCTTCGAGACCCGTTCTTGAAGAATCCCAGTTTCTTCGACTTCTCTTTTCTTCTTCTCCTAGAAGCTAGAGAATTTAAGAACGCACCCTTAGTTTGTAGGCCACCCTTTCTTTTTTCGTTGTTTAACGTCCGCGCCCGCGTACCTTTTTGCCTCTGACCGGAAAAAAAAACAAGAAAGTAGTAGTACCAATAATATGCGAAGTTGTAAATACATGATTGTGTAGTTTCACAGTGTGCCGATCATGACCTTAAACTTATAATCTTGCCTCCCGGGCATGCCTTTGTCTTGTGTTCTTCTTCTTTTTTTGTTGGCTTTTAAATATCGTACGGTGTGTGTCCTAGTAAAATTCCAGATGTAATGAATTCATGACATGCTAACTCCATGCTATGTACCTGTTTTGTTGGATTCATCAGGCATGTGCTCCAATGTACCATCAAAGAGTGTTGTTCTATGCCTGCAAGTGCCGCTAGACCCAGAAATATTGTATATCACATGCTTTACTGGTCAAAATGTTTGATTGGGGTTTCCAGTTTTTGGAATGGGCTTTTGTTTTTTTTCCGCCCTCCCGCGTACCTTTTCGCGAAAAAAAGGACGTTAAACAATGAATTAACAAAGGGTGGCCTTACGTAGACCCAACCCCTCCCTCCCTCCCCCTCAGAACGTAAAAATTGTTACAATTTTTACCAATTATACAACAAAAGTCGCAAGTGTGTTGTTGTTGAAATTTTATTTTGTATCGCAGACCAAACGGGCAATGGTGCCCTATATTATGATGGCGATAAAGTAATGGCCGAGAGCCAAGGATACAACAAGCAAGCCTCCACGAAAGAGAGAAAAACACAGAAAACACAGACTGCAAATACTCAAAAAGAAAAAAGAGAAAGGGTAAAAAAGAAAAAGAAAGAAGAAGAAAGCACAGTTGAGTCACAGTTGAGTCACGACTCCAAGTCCAAGCCTAGATGCTGGCTAACCATAAAAATAAACCTTTAAAAGTCTCTTGAATGATCTATGGCAGGCGAGGGACTTGAACTCTTGGGGCAGGGCGTTCCATAATTTAACAGCAGAAACGAGCGGCCGACAGTCACCAGAGACTCGCCTGGTGGCAGGGACAACATACGCATTTGGATCGTTGATCCGAGTGACGCCTTCAGTCTGGCGACGTAGGCGCTTGGACAGGAGATTACTAATTCTGGCGGTGTGGATACGAAGCATGAGGAGGCGGAGTTTACATGCAGTGGGCGTTTTGGATGATGGGGATGAGGCCTAGACGGGTGTAGATGGGATCTGTGTGGGAGGGGAATGGCTGGTTGGCAACGCAGCGGATACATCGCTTGTCGAGGACCGAAAGCTGATGCCCTTGGTGCGCAGAGAGAACCGAGAAGAAGGCATTAGATCCATACAACATGTCCGGTAGTATTAACGATCTGTAAAATAGCAGGGCTTGTTGCTCAGTTAAGCAGGAGCGAATGGCTCGCAGCGCCGTCAGTTTCTGGGAGGTCTTCCGTGTAATAGTTGCAACTTGAGTCTCCCACCGAAGCTGGGTGTCGAGATGTAGACCTAGATATCGAGCATTTGTGGTCTGAGCTAGGGGATTTCCATTGCATTCTATGTTAAGTAACAAGGGCTGCCTGCGAGACGCATGAAGGGCTAGAACGTGGGTTTTGGAGGGATTTAGTATTAAGCCTCTTTCTTCCAGAAAATTGGCCAGGTTGGAGACTGAACGGGAGAGGATTAAATTCAAGAATTCGACGGATTGACTGATAGCGTCTAGCAGGATATCATCAGCAAACAGCTGTGAGTGGGCTGGAGCTGTGATCTGTTCTATTTCCATTGTGTAGATGGAGAACAAAAGAGGACCCAGCACACTTCCCTGAGGAACACCACACTCACAGGGAGAGAGGGCGGACGACTGGCCATTGCTCAGGACGACTCGCTGACGGCGGTCAGTTAGGTAGCTCATGAACCAACTGAGAGCCGTTGAGGTAATACCAAGCTGAAATAGATCTGTAACCAAAATTTGGTGTTTGACCTTATCGAAGGCCTTGCTCATATCGACAAGTACAAGACCTGTATGGCGCTGCTGATCCGCTGCCTCCAAGTATCTGTCTACAGCCAATGTCAGGGCATCTTCTGTGGAGTGAAGTGGGCGATATGCGAACTGGTTTGCGGGGAACAAGGAATTTCCGGAGAGGAACTTACAGAGTCTCGTGTGGACTACCCGTTCTAGGACTTTGGAAACTATTGGTAATAACGATATTGGTCTATAGTTCTTAGCGACAGCTTTGTCGCCTGACTTGAAGAGGGGACGAACATCCGCAATCTTCAGAGATGCAGGAACAACACCAGAAGCCAGAGATGCATTGATTAGTATGGTGAGGGACGGTGCAAGGACAGGAGAACAGTGTTTGAGGATTGCAGCTGGAACCTGGTCGCTGCCTGCAGCTTTGCGCACGTCGATGTTGGAGAGCAGCTTAGCGATCTCTTGCACACTTGCTGGAGCAAATTCTTCGAGGCATTCCTTCTTCGTGGGACCCAATGGGGCTGAGAGACGTAGTGGTCTAGTTGGGTCTGACACAACACCGCTGAATTGGTCACTGAGCTGTGAGACACTGACGGCTGGTGGAACTGAGGACTTATTACGACCGCTGAGGTAGTTGATGGTCTGCCAGGTTTTTCGTGCGTTGGCCTGACTAGCAGCAAGAAGGTCCCTAAAGTAGATGGCTCGGAGATGTCGTGACATACGCTTGGCTTCGTCTCGGGCAGAAGTGAAGACATTGCGTAGTGCCGGGTCTGCAGGTGATGCTTTCCACCGTCGATGGGCCGCGTCACGTCGCTGGACTAGGTCATGTAGAGCTGGCGTCTTCCAGGGGAAGGATTTCCGGGTAGGAGCTCTTGGGCGGTGTAGACGGATAGGAGCATGAGTGTTCAAGGCCGCGACAAGTTTCTCCAGCCACATATCCCACATTTCATCTTCTGTCCGCGCAAAGCAGAAGTTCTCTAGATCGCTATTTAGAAGGTGGTGTGCAAATTGACCCATATCAATTCTTGCAATGTTACGGCCACGTCGCACGGTCGGTGTGCAGGACGTTGTGAGTCGCAAATCAAGTGCCAGAGCGAAGTGGTCACTGATTGTACAAGGTACTACGACACAAGAGTTCACATGATCGTCTCCGACCAGAGCGTGATCCAGGGTTGTTTGGCTGCCTTGGGGTCCAATTCTGGTAGGACTGTCCACTTGGTTCTTGATGTCGAAAGAATTACACAGGTGCAGCAAGCTGTTTAGCTGGGGGCTGTCGCGGGAGCTTACATCGACATTGAAGTCTCCAACAAGGACCAGAGGTGATGTGGGAAGTGTGGAGATGACAGTGTCTAGTGCATTCGTCAAGTCTTGCCAGAATTGCACAGGAGTGCCTGGAGGACGGTACACACCACCAAGGAGAACCTTGGAACGCTGCCCACTGACCTCTAACATGAGCATTTCCACCTGGGTGTCAGCCTTCACAATTCGGGCTCGGAGATGATCTCTTACATATGCTGCTAAGCCTCCGCCATGAGTTGGCCTGTCGCGTCTGACCAGGGTGTAATTCTGTATGCGTAGGATGTCATCGGAAACGGAGGTTGTTAAGAAAGTCTCTGCCAGCATCATTATATCAACTTTATGGGAAAGAATATAATCTTCAATGTCATGCTTTTTATTGAGAAGATGGCAAACATTTAGGAATCCTATTTTGAGGTTACTTTTAATTAATTCATGCTGTAGGGGATTTACAGTGGGGGTCACTGCTCCTATGGCCATGTACATATATCGAACTTTTCTGAAACGAAATTGGTCAACCCCCTCCCACCCCATAACGAAATTATTTCGTTTCGTGAAAAAAGTTCGATAATTATGGACGACCCCTTATTATTAGAAGTTTTTCCAGGACCGATTTCTGTCAATACGATTCTCACATAAAAAAATTCTGATACCGGTAATTCGAACCTCGAACCGGACATGTTCGGTTAATTAGAAGTTCCACTGATTCCACTTACACTAAACATGATGTGTGGGATTTGTGCTGATAATTCGAAGTTAGCAAAGTGTAATTCGAAGTTCACTGTACACTGACTGTACTGGTCAGTTGAGTTTGCACGAGCAGGCTGTGCCGGTCAGTTCAGTATCCGTGAAATCTGTGTTTAAGGTCCATAGCGCAACTATGCGTGACCATGAGAGCATTATTGTGTTGTGGGTTCATGTTGGAGAATATCCGGATACTTATTATTAGAAGTTTTTTCCTGGCATTTCGAGGTTCGACTTATCAGGATTCCACCTGTAGTACATGTACAGTGCTGGCAACTGAAATCCGACCCCCTTGCCGGCGCGGCGCGCCGCCAAGGGGGTCGGATTTCAGCTGCCAGCACTGTACTGTAGTAGATCTACTCTACACTACACTTGTAGATCTACTCTACTAGTATGTGACTTGGCGGGGCATGGCATGGCAAGCCTGCTATGCTGAATGCCAGCTAGCTAGCCTGCTGAATCATCAGAATGCCTAATCCGTGCACACGATACATGCATGCAGTGCATTCCTCAAGCGCGTCCTAGACATCCTATATCCTGTCATGACCGGTGTATGTTTACGGCCATATCCGGATCTACCGCGCTTGAAAACATGATGAAGACAGATCGACGATCACAGAGTCGCTTGCTTTTTGTGTTTCTGTGGAGCAGTTTGCCTTCGATGCCATCTAACGTTACTCGTTAGTAACAAAACAGAACACACGCAGCGCTCGCACACGTGTTTGCGGACGGATGTTTGCGTGCAGAGCGCAGGCAGTTTGCCGTGGATTGGTTGGGAGGCGTTTCATTTGTCATCAACAAGGCGTTTGAAACATCGCTTGCTTCCACCATTAGGCACAACTACGTTACTTGCGAGCCCCAGCCAGCGTTACAAACTGTCTCCCTGTGTGCCTGGTCCTGTTTTGCCTGGTCCTGTTTTCCCCAGCCCGGAGCTGCACGACAGGTGCTAGGTAGCCGTGAGCAGTAGGGAAGGCCGTGGACGTGGTGGTGGTGGCGCGGCTGCGACGCAGCATGCCGAGTATAGATAGCGACTCGTCAAGCCCGGATGGCGATTCTTCCGGCAGTTGTAGCTCCGGCACACAGTTGGACTTGGAAATGGACGTCCACCCACAGAGTCGGCTGGTCTTCAATCAATGCCGAGGTGATTTCCTGCTCGGCCTTGAGCTGCTGTCGTTGCGTCGAGCGGTGAACGAGAGCATTTTCTCCACACTGCTCCTGGATATGAGCTTGGATGCGTTCACGCTGGATTTGCTATGCGAAGGTCTACTCTTTGCACTGGAACGCACGGACATTCTTGACGAGGAAGACGACGCTTCCCTGGTGTGCTTCAAGTCGTCCAGTCGCACGGTGTTTGGCGCTCAAGCGGGCACTTCGCTGACGGACGGACGGCGCTTGGCGTTGCTTGATCGGCTAGCAGGCCTACCGGACCTGTACCAGTCCTGGCAGGGGGAGCAGCGGAGCGATGACATCATCGGCTTGGCGCTGACGTCGGGCCTGGAAGAGGTGATCGTCCACGGCACGCGCTTCAACTTCGTCTTGCTGGTGTGCGGCAGTTCAGACAGCGGCGTGGACTGCACAGCGGTGGCGGACGATGCCATGCAGAAGATACGTCAGGTCGAGAAGCACGGTTTGCACACTCGTGTCTACTGTGTCGGCATTGGTGAGGGCTACGACCGCGAGCTGCTGCAGTCATTGGCCGACCGTAGCCATGGTAACTTTGCCCACGCCGTGGACGGGTATGACGCAGTGCACCACATCCAGAGCATGCTAGCGCAGTTCTCCACCCTGGTCGCCACGGATACGACACTGACGCTGACGTCGACCAAGGTCAACGGCCGACCGATCATCCGGTCCATGTGTGACGTGGCCAACGATGGTCATGTGACCGGCGGCCAGCAGCATTGTCATGGCAACGTCGGGGGAGAGGGCAAGTTCACGGTGTTTTTTGGCGACGTGTTCACCGAGGAGTCCTATCAGCGCATTGTGCGCGTCGAGCTTGACTTGACGGCCATCGCTAGCGAGCACACTGCACTGCCGATTGCATCCGGCACTGTGCAGTACAGCACTGCCAACGGCAGCTATGAGATCAGCTACAGCACGGTGCTTGAGCTGTGCGTTCTCTCACCGGCGCTGTCGCACCGAGCCGTCGCTCTGGCCATGCCCATACCGTACCTGCTACCACGCCCGATTGGCATACCGGACGAGGGCGACACAATGATGACGCCGTTCATACAGCGCCATCTCGCCTCAGAGGTGTGCGGACGCGTGCTCGTACAAATCCACGAGATGGAAGGCAACGCGAGCGACAGTGACATTGACCCCGAACAGCGCAATCGCTGCTGGGCGATCTCTAGTGAGTGTCTTCAATTAATTCGAGCCCTGGAGCGATGGAATCTCATCAACCTTCCGCCAAAGCAAGCCGAGAAGCTGAAGATGCTCACCAGGCGTCTCAAAGACGAGTTTGAGGCCGAAGAACCGACAGCACTGGAAGCCGAAGACAACACCGGAGACGTCAGTGGGAAATCCCCAGAACTGGAAGTTGAGCAGGACAGCAGTGCTGGTGGAGGAGGAACGAGTGCAGTCAATGCCGCTACTGGTAAATGCTATGATGTCTTGCTGTGTGTCATTGTGTGTGTGTGCGTGCGTGCGTGCATGCGTGTGTGTGTGTGTGTGTGTGTGTGTGTGTGTGTGTGTGTGTGTGTGTGTGTGTGTGTGTTTATGTGTGTGTTTGCATGCTTGTATTTCACTCGACTCATCAGTTAGAGTTGCAGGGTATGGCAGTACATGTAGTAGGTGTGTGACTGTGAGTTTCTTACTCCTCCGCTGGGCCACACACACTACTCTCGGGCACCGAAGGCCGGAGGGTCGAAACAAACAAACAGACTAGAATTTCACCAAGCACAGCATACCGATATACACACGGCGACTCAGTCGCAGATAGACCGCTGCAGTACCGCAGACGGTGGTTGTGTGATGTTTGCTTAGTGCGTGAAACTCGGAGTAACAACACATTTTTCATCCTCGTATTCTTGTTAGACCGCAGTACATGAAAAATGAGAACGACCTATGCTTCCCTTCTGACACCCCACCCCCTTTCTTCGGCACCCAGCACTACTGCAGTGCGCCTGTCGCTATCCATGCGTGGGGAGATGTAGTCAATGTATGCCTATGGCAATAGTACACCACCCCTAGCTGTCCTTATCCCGTCGTGCGAATTCGCAATAACCTTTCCCTGGGGACTTGGAAAGCGTATGTAGCTATGGCAACCTTGCTCTAGTATGTAGCTATGGCAACCTTGCTCTAGTATGTAGCTATGACAACCTTGCTCTAGTATGTAGCTATGGCAACCTTCGTTTCACTTGCGTGAAGAGCACATGAAAACCAGAGTGTGCAGCCCGGGGCTTTTTCTACTATGGGTGTCTGTCACGGCGGAATTCCGTGATTACATCATATTTGGTGCAGATCTGAGGCGCGAAGTGGCATAGTGCGTACAACTGAGCTGCAGTTGCGCAGCAGGAGATCTACTTGAATCCTTCTTGTATGCACTATTATTAATATTATTATTATTCCCGTAGCTATGCAGAAGACGTTACTTTAGCGCCAGGGTCCACACAGCTATTTGGTATTTGTGTGTTTGTTTGTTTGTGTCACGCCTGGCGCTATCCCGTATCTGTCCCGTACCGTACCGTACCATCAAACACAGCTGGCCACATACAGCTGGCCGCAATATTCAAATAGGGCTTTCAAACGCAAGATCATAACGTGAAGCAACTTGGAAGAATGAGTATGAATGCGAAGTGTATGGGGGAATGCATGTAGGGTGATAGTGCGGGTTCGAATCCCAGGTTATACCTAAAAAAATAGGAAAATTGAAAAATTTATACCATCCTTATGCTTTTTTTGCCTAGGTCATCAAGGCGGTAGACGGTGTCGTATTATCCTCGACCGTACCTGTCCCGTACTTGTCCTGTACCGTACCATCAAAGACGGCTGGCCACAATGCATATTCAAATAGGGCTTTCAAATGCAAGATCATAACGTGAAGCAACTTGGAAGATTAGTATGTATGCGAAGTGTATCGGGGGATCCATGAAGGGCGATAGTGCGGGTTCGAATCCCAGGTTATGTCTTAAAAAAAGGAGAAATTTATAAGAATTTATAACATCTCTATGCTTTTTTTGTCTAGGTCATCAAGGCAAAAAAGCATAGCGTAGGGCCCTGAGCTTCCAAGCTCTCTCGTTATAAGCACTATCGCGATGAAAGCGGGGATGCCTACTTCACTTGTGCCATCCAGGATGATGATAAAGAGAAAGACAAACAGAAAGCTCAGAATCTTGAGGAACAATGCTGTAGAGCACAATAGCTGTGATCAAGAGTACATAAACCAGAGTGTGCAACTGTGCATATCAGATCTGAAACAGCGCAGTTCGTGCACTACGTCACCCTGATGAGGTCAGCCAAGCCGCGACTTGCGTACAGCTCAAATTTTCATGTTTCATAGCCCGGAAATCAGCCAAATCTGCTTGATTTTAGACGTCCTGTTTCAGGATTTCGGTGTTTTGTGTGACTGTGTACGCTGCCACATCCACCGACAAGTAAAGTCACCAGGCTATCCGTATCAAAAAACCGAAATCAGGACAAACTCAGTGAACTGCACCACCGCGACTGGTTACGCAACTTTTCACCGTGCCTGTGGCCTACCATGCCGTCAGAAATGACGTAGTGCATGAATTACACTCCCACAGGAACCATCCCGAGTTGCACACTCTGGCTTATGTACTCTTGCTGTGATCAATAGGATGCGCTGCACTACATCAGTAAAATGATGTAATCACAGAATTTTGCCGTGATAGCAACCCATCAGAGCTGCACACTCTGGGCTTCATGTACTCTTGCTTGCATTAACTTCTGGTGTGTACGTTGTGTATGCTATACTATAGAAAGTGATGGCAAGTCTGAAGACATCATGCCCGCCGAGGCACCGGCAGGGACGGCTCCGGACAGCGGTCGACGCCGATCCAGTGGACTTCATATGAGTGCCCGTCGCCAGTCCAGTTACCAGTCGTCAGGGAAACGAGACCGCGCCAAGGAGCTCTATGCTCAGACGCTGCGCTTCACCACAGCCAAGGCGGCGGGAGAGAAACTGGCCACAACGCCGGAAGGAGTCGAAGGCGAGGAAATGACACCACACGATGATACCACGCGGCTGGGACACAGCAGCAGTGCTTCTAAACCGGACAACACCGCAGCAAGCAGTGGTGATGGGGACGAAAGCAACCCGCCCGCTACTTCTAAAGGTGGAGACTCGTCAGTCACTGACGCAGGCGGAGAGCAGCACGTACACGGTCGGCTGCGTAACCTTGCCGACGACGGCGAGATGAGTGAGAGCATCCAGGCCATCGAGAAACGGCTTGCCGAGTCGTCGGGCCAGCGCAAGCGTACACGCGGCACCGTGCGTATCGGCGACGACTCCGAGCTGGGGAAACGACTCAAGCAGCGCGAGCAGAAGCGGCAGGAACTGCTCACCAAATACGGAAAAGACTGGGCGGACAAATACTAGGCAAATGTCACGATTCAATAAATTACTGGGTTTACGGGTAATTTACTGGGTTTACGGGTAATTTTTCCAGTCACTATACAAACAGTAAGTCGCTTACGGCATTCAGAGATATGCCTGCTAACTGCTGGAACTAGTTGCTATAGCGATACAATACACAGACAAGCTGTACCCAAAGAACTTGCCAAATATGGAGAAGACTGGTCGGACAAATGTTAATCGCATGGCACGACGTAGTACTGGATTGTGTAAATTTCCCAATCGTGCTACAGGCAGTAAGTAGTACTTCGAAGTACTTGGTGCTTAGCATACGTCATAAGAGTCTTCCGGCTCGGGAGAGTGCTCAATGTTCATGCGAACAGTGCTGAGATATGCCTGCTACAACTGGTCGCAATGCAATATACGGTCAATCTGTACCCGAAGAACTGGTATTTCCTGATCATTGGTTCTATGAACTGTATATATCCTAGTAGCAAGCATGTTTGTGCTTGCTACACTCTCTTGCACATGCACAGTGCCAACAGCAACAACAATCATGGGAGCGGAGTATGCATGTTGTACAGGCTCTCTCACTCTCTCTCTCTCATCTCTCTCTCTCTCTCTCTCTCTCTCTCTCTCTCTCTCTCTCTCTCTCTCTCTCTCTCTCTCCCTCTCTCTCTCTCTCTCTCTCTCTCTCTCTCTCTCTCTCTCTCTCTCTCTCTCTCTCTCTCTCTCTCTCTCTCTCTCTCTCTCTCTCTCTCTCTCTCTCTCTTTCTCTCTCTCTCTCTCTCTCTCTCTCTCTCTCTCTCTCTCTCTCTCTCTCTCTCTCTCCCTCTCTCTCTGCCATGCCACGCTAACGTCTGTGTAATGTAACGCTAGCGTCTGTGTCGTGCCACACTAGCGTCTGTATCGTGCCATGCGAGCGTCTGTGTCATGCCACGCTAGCATCTGTGTCATGCCACGCTAGTGTCTGTGTGTATTGCCATGCTAGCGAAACCTTTGTGACTGTGTTCTGTGCTACGTCACGTGCAATCCTATGTGAAACCGAGGCTGTATCGAGTACAATTTTGCATGTGCCATGTGTGTGCAGTAGTAATCGTGTAAATCGTCCCGGGCGATCAGAATTCACCCCTAACTGCGTATTCTCTGTGCCGGCCTTGTTGTTCCCGCATAGCAATACTGATTGCAGATCACCTGACCACAGTTGCCCTTGGCATACCGGTATACTACGGTGGCCATCTTTGTTGTCATGGCAATGCTGACTGTTTGTCTTGTGAGCACCGTGACTCGGCTATGACCTATGTGCTGTCTGAGTCATATCCATAGTACGATGGTAATGCGTGTAGATAGCCGCTGAAATTTGAGATTACTGCTGGCCCACTTCAGTTGAACACCACGTTGTAGGAGTAACTGGAGTATGAATGTTGTTGTTTAAATACATATCATGCCGGCAATGCTATTATTGCTGTAGGTTTGCGTGCATGTGCGCAGGTTTAGCAAGCAGCATCTTTTTTGATATTGATCAAGCCTCTCGTGCCGACGTAGGCCTCTCCGCTTTACATGCAGTGCAGTTCTGGTCACAGTCATTGGTCATGAGAGTGATCGTATCATTTCATTATACACTCGCGTTGATCGTGTTGATGTGACTAGTGTATGTGCTTTATGTCCTGCTATGATACCACTCAGTTGAAGTATGTCACTGTGTGTGTGTGTGTGTGTGTGTGTGTGTGTGTGTGTGTGTGTGTGTGTGTGTGTGTGTGTGTGTGTGTACGTCTGTGCATAATTACGTGTCACGCGGCATACATGCAAATGATCGGTTTGAAGAGCGATGCAAGCGTACTGTTATCATCACAGGGTTCTAGCCAGGGCAAAATAGTGTGTGTGGGGGGGGGGGGGGGCATGGGGAGCAGTTACTGTAAAATACAATTTTTTGTTTACGAAATCTTTCGTTAGATCACTCCACCAGGAGGTTCGTTACGTACTAAATTTTGCTTTTGGTCGAGATCTAGTCTGTCACCCCGGGATGTTCAGAAAAAAATTAGTTTGGTACGAACTGTAGTTATTTCGTGCCCCCTAACGAAAGTTAATTCCAAACGAAGCGGAGGAGTTTCGTGAAGCACATGCAAAACAGCACAGTGCCGTCTTCATTGCAAGGAGCATTGCAAGGAGCGTGATATCTAAAAAAACATTTGGAAATGGCTAGTATTGCCATGCACAAAATACTAGAAAAATGGCAGGTGGATAGTCGTCAACGGGAGATTATAATTTTTACTGTAAGAGTCAACAAACCAGTGATGAACTGTGAACGTACATTTATAATATAATGACTTTGCACAATATGCTATTGATATCCACATAATCATAACTTTACTTATGGATTTAACTCGGATGCTGAGCCAATAAATATAATTAGGAAATAATTAAAGAAATGTGTGAGAGCTAAGTCTCAAGTCGTTGAATGTCTCAGCAGCATGTCAGTTTTGTGCTCTGTTATCGCACTTTCTGACTGCTTATTACCTTGCTACAGTCGTGGATAGGTGCTTCATAACTCGATTCCATGTGTGTTGTTTCATTGCTGGACGGTTCACAATGATCTTACTGGACAGTGTGCACACAGCCCAGCCGAGGCTGAGAATGCGGGCTGCAGGCTAGAATGGCTACTCCGCCTGCTTATCAGAGTGTACGATATAAACAGCTGAAGCGGACGAAGCAGTGGCCTCTGGGACCTGGCTAGTGGGTTTCGGCCGGTCACTGAAAAACATAGCGAGCACGCTACTAGATAACAAAATAGAATCTGCCAGGGTAGGAGTGGACTTCTAGAAATATATAGAATAGGATAATTTTATGAAGTTAGGAGCATAGGATAATTTTTAGTACAAAAAGAAAATATACCTTCTCTGAGTTCAACCAGGGTGTAGTGGTACAATGGACCTGATCTAGGGAATTTGTTTCATGGCTAGATCGCCACATTCATGTGTTACTAGCATGATAAGATCGCAACACTCCATCCTGGAACTGAGCGTTTGAATACTCTGGTATGGTCAAGATGCCAAACGTTGACGCTGCACTGGGCGTAACGGCCTATAAAGTATAATGTGAATAACACACACGGCGTACGGTTCTTATATTGGTACTATGTGTGTGTGTGTGTGTGTGTGTGTGTGTGTGTGTGTGTGTGTGTGTGTGTGTGTGTGTGTGTGTGTGTTCATCAGCCCTGCAAGCTGTTGAATGGCGCAATCCCCGCACAAGTTGCTATGTCCAACATAGCTTGTTCGCTATCATCACTTCAGCGAAGTATGCGTGTGTTCTCCACGTGACGTCATCGTCGTGTCATCGTGGGCGGAAGAGATGCTGCGCATAGGCTGAGTCGCGTCCAACACACGCCACCCCGGGCCCGGCGCGCTGGTACTGCATGTCGTGCAGCCATTGCCACGAGCAGTTCAGAATGGATCCACCACCACCGCCACCGCTGCCGCTGCCGGTCGCTTGGCCGGGCACGACAAGGGGCCACTCGGAGCCTAGTTCCGACTCGGTGATCATCTCGCCGTCCGTGCACTTCTCGTCCATCTCCGGCAGCTGCTCGGGCAAGTCACCCAGCACCTCCACCGAGCTCAAGTAGTTGGTGCCGTCGTGGCCGCCAATGGCGAACACGAAACCCGAGTAGGCAACGATGGACACGCCACCGCGGGGGACGGACAGCGGCGCTATGGTAGTCCAGGTGTCGCTGCGCGGCTGGTAGACTTCCACGGTGGCCAGCGGGTACTCTTCTTCAAAACCGCCTGCGACAATGATCTTGCCTACAGACAATAAACACGATAGCCACAGAGAAATAACGCTATCCAAAGCTATCAAAATAATGAGCTTTGGGCTGTCAGCTCAATGAGGGCAAACCAAATAGACGTAGATTCGTTGGTAAATTGCTTTCAGAATGCCCGTAAAAGAGGCGCTGCGCTTACGATCATACCCAAAGGCAATGTTCTTGGAAACGGTCTATTGCTGCTAAAGGGTACCCGATAACCCGCCCGTTAAGCCAGGTACCCGGTTGCTTCGTTCGTTTCACCCCTATAATGATAATCGTCCTTTTTTCCCTAAGGTGGGGTATGTTACTGGACAATACTGTCTGCAACTTAGAATACAATCAGTCGTGTGCCCGAGACATCAACGGCTCTAAAACGCGGTACGGCCACAGGTGATCTTCATTACGCTCTGCTTAGCAACACCGGCTTTGCTATTGATTTCAAGACAATTGAGAAGAAATGAGATAACGCCATGTCAACAGTAAAGTACAGTCAACTTTGTGTATATCGACACTCGGCGGGGCATCAGAAAAGTGTCCTTATTCGCGAAGTGTCCTTATACCCGAAGTCTCATTATATGTATACAGGTAGTATGGACTTTGCTCTGGGCATGGAAATTCTGTCGTTATTCGCGAATTGTCGTTATATCCGCAGTCGTTATTAGCCAAGTTGACTGTAGAGGAGACGGCTCGATACCGGGACGTTTTGACAGCCAAATTTGTATAGACCCAAACCGATCATCAGCGTTGATTTTTCACTCGAAATATGTTTGTGGAAGGAAACTGGCATGTTGAAGTTTGCTCTGGGGCCAGAGTCAATCGAACTGAGCCACTCCTTTGTGTTGACCCATTGCCTCCAAGTTGCCCAATTTTTCGCTTCAAAAAAGTTCAAATCAGGGGTGGCTCAAAACCGGACACGTTTTAGAGTGCACGTCAAATTCACTCTGGGTCTGAAATTAGGTAATTGCTATCGCTCCACGACGGCCAGTATAGAGTAACAATAAGCCTTGTGTGTGCTTCCATTAGTTTTGATTGGTATGCGGTGCTTTATTGGCGAGAGGCGAGCCGCTGTTTACCTGCGACAAGAAGTTGATTTTTCGAAAGTCGTAAAACTCAAGTCGCAGTGCGAAGCAACACGTCAAAAACTCACCTGCTTGATATGGCGCTTCTGGTCATCGCAGAGCCATGAAATTTTGGCTCGGAGTATAACACATAGTAGTCTCACTGTGGCATATGTTTTCTAATCAAAATACCAAGAGAGAAAGTGAATATTGAGTCCGTTCCGGTTTGCAACCGGTGTCCTATTTGAAACCGTCCCCTCTACTAGAGGAGGTGGGGCGTCAACACTTCCACGAGCATTGCAGATTTTGTTCAGAACGCAACATATTACCCCATGCAGGGGTGTTGGGGACTTGGGGGAACTGTAGAGCCCTAACCAATGCATTTTTTAAACTTTTTTTAGGGTGCATGCCTTCATGGGGTACTCTAATTTCACAAGTTTTCGGTGTACTTTTATTTTCGGTACTTTCGGTGCGTCTGTTTCATACCTAAAATTTCAATACACCGAACAAACACTAACACACATAATCCAATAGGGAAATGCTTCTCTGTACCGAAAATTTCTGTTCACCTAACCTAGCCTTTTGCCCTCATACCGAAAATATTGAGCACCGACAATTTCTGGAATTAGAGTAGCTGGGCAATAACTGGTACGGTATATTATACTGTAGTGTAGTGACCGTAGCACTTGTTGTGGCCCTTAACACCATGTCTCGTGTTCTTATGCAGTCATGCACATGTAGGCTTGTTCTATTCATGTTACCGTGACATAGATGTTGGTTGCCTCGCTGCTCGCTCTCCTCTCTTCTCTCACCCAAGCCATTCCAGGGCAAGACCGGCGGAAGCAGTTCTTGATTGGTCCCGCCGTACCCTAGCCTTTCATATACAGTTTGTGTGGACGGTATGGACAAAGTATATATCCTTGATATGGAGGGTATACACATGACCTCCTAAGCGGTGAGCACATGTTGGTGGCCAAACAGTTGGTCCAGCCATAGGCCTGACCAACCGGACCGGTTCTGCTGGGCCTGCAGCATAAGCGAAGCTGTGGAGTCAGCATACTGCTGTTACACTTCAATGCGGAAAGTTGCGCCGGAAACGCTTATATCAAAAGTTGAATTATTTGAAACTAATAGCCCCATGGCTGGTGCTGAGTGCTCTTACCCTCCACCGTTGCCATGCCAAAGCCAGCGCGGTAGTCACTCATGGCTGAGCGCGGTCGCCAGGAATCGTTCAGCATGTCGTACGCCTCCAGCGATCGCGTGGAGGACGCCGCACCGGAGTTGCCGCCGGCCACGTACAGCGTGTTGTTGAGGACGGCCGCTCCACAGCCGCCGCGCGACTGCAGCATGGGCGCCACCGTGTGCCACTTGTTCTGCGCTATGTTGTACCGCTCCACGGCCGCTAGGGCGCCACTGCTGTTGATGCCACCTGCATAGCATTGTAAACACACAGTGGGTGGCATGCAAACACCAGGATGACTGTTGAAGGTATTCATAGCTGCTGCTGCTGCTGCTTGCAAAGTGTTCAGTTCTAGTTAATTTTAATTAAAACTACTGAGTGAAGTATTTTGACAAACGTGGTGTTAATTTTAAGTTAAGTCTGGGCAATATAAACTCCACTACGACCACCACCGCCGTCGCCACCACACACGCACATGTGCATACACACACACACACACACACACACACACACACACACACACACACACACACACACACACACACACACACACACACACACACATACACACACACACACACATGTGCCTACACACACACACACACACACACACACACACACACACACACGCACATGTGCATACACACACACCATGTACCATACACACACACACACACACACACACACACACACACACACACACACGCACATGTGCATACACGCAAACACACACACACACACACACACACACACACACACACACGCACACACACACACACACACACACACACACACACACACACACACACACACACACACACACACACATGAAAACTATCAACAACAGTGTAACACACACAACATTGGCATGGCACTCACCTATAACATACAGCGGACCGTTCGGCCCGGCTGACACCAGCGCGTGGCCACGACGCGCCACATTGATTGGCTGCAACATCGACCACTTGTCCTTCTTGGGGTCGTAGACTTCGACAGAGGTGAGGTGCTCAGCACCATCATGTCCGCCGACGGCATAGAGCAGACCGGGACCTGCCGTACAGAGAGCTACGTGTCTTCTGGCCGTGCACATACTGCTCACCTCTTTCCACGCATCCTTGCGGAAGTCGTACCGCTCCATGTTTTTCCAGGGCAGGAGAGCCGAAACTTGGCGATCACCACCACGACCACCCGCCGCGTAGATGCAGGGCATGTAGCATGCTCTCGGCCTGCTGGTCATCCAGTCGGCCGTCGTGCACGAATACGTCATCTCTACACCGCACCCCATATTGGCCGGGTATCCCACCGCTCGCATCAGGTGGTAGTCCTTGGCGGCAGTGAGTAACTGGCGGCATTTCGCACTGCGCATGATCAACTCTTCACTCTGCACGATGTCGACAAGGAAGCTAGGCTCGAGCAAGGGCCAGCGCAGCGCGCGGAGCAGTTGAGGTAGAGAGTCGTGCCGCGTGGAAGGTCGCGTTCCGTCTCCGCCATGCTCTGTTTGCTCGCACGGTGACGTCATTGCACTGTTACACAGTGACCATGGGGAGTGTGGTAGATACGATGGGGACTGTGGCGCGGCGGTGTGAGCTTGGTGTATGTCTTGCAGTGACAATGCACGGGTTGCTGTCGCCCTTGTTGTTGTTGTGGTGGTGGTGGTGGGTGTGGTGGTGGCTAGCTCAATGCGACGATTATCCCGTGTCGTCACGCTGGTGTCCACCACATTCTCACTATACTGGCACCATTGCATCATTACTGTGAATACATCTTCTTCACGATGCACACACAGCAGATCGCTTGAGAGCAAGCGGCACATTATGGACAGGGGCAGCTTCATGAAGTCCTCCGTTTTGGACACGTCCTCGAAATGCTCCAGGAAGTGCTGTTCGGCAGCGCGGCGTAAGACATCTGAACCATAACTATCCGCTAGCGATAGAAACACAGCACAGTTGCTGGTGTCTAGTATACGGCGTAGAAAGCCACCACAACCCTCCAAGACAGGTTGAACTTGCAGCATTGACGACGCATACATTAGATCCTCCACGTTGCTGCGCGTGATTTGTATCAGCCCAGTGTAGGCAAAGTCTATCAATGCTTTCACGCACTGGTCGCACACGTCGTGAAGCTCAACCGCTGGCGCTGTCGACTCCTGCATCTTGCTAGTGAACATGGCGCGAAAATAGGGTGAAGAGGCGGCCAGCACGACGCGATGACAAGGTACGCGTCTGGACGCGACTTGTATTTCCACGTCACACAGACTACCAGTGAAATACATTTCATGTAAATGTCGGAGGCTACTCTCGGCGTGCGCCTTCCAGCTCAGGTTCAACACTGGCTCGGGCTCTTCGCCGATATCAGTTGATTTCGTCGCAATCGGGATTATCCCTGGGTATTCTGCTTCAACTAGCCGATCAACAAGACCAGCGACATCTTCCATGATTCAGATTAAATCTTCAGCCTGAACGGAGCGCAAGGTTATCCCAATGCTCCAGCCAGGTTCTGTGCTCCACACACCGACGTTCAAGTGGACGGTTACGGGTATGCAAAGACAGTACTGGTTTCACAGCTAGAGCTACCTCTACCCTGGTCAACACCTCTGCCTCTTGTGCGGAAGGAAAGCGGAGTTGGCGATGATGGCCCCGCGACCGCCAGTCCAAACGCTCTTTTGCTTGCTCGATGCTAGCGACGATACCAGTCACCGCGGGTGATGATCTCCTGCGGCGCGTTACGGTCGGTGCCTAGTCCTTAGACCTTACTGCACTCAGCGCTTCGCTCGTTAGCGCATAGCGCGCTACGGGCGGTGAATATTGCACTTAGAAAATTCAGCAAAAACACGAAACTACAAAAGACTCGCACAAATCGACAGCAGCCGACAGGAATCTCTGTATGCTGCTGTGAGGCTAGGCTGTCAATCGAGCCAGAAACTGAGAAAACAGGAACACCACAACTGATTTTATGTACCAACGTTAGTACTATTTAATTGGTATTTCAGATTCAAATTGGGAGAGGACTTTAGCGGTCAGAACCCTCCTCTCTTCCTGAGCAATTACTAGTACACCTGTTAGTGTTACCTGTCTGCAGGTTATCTGATCTGATCGCTACTAAAGGGTCATGTGGTAAAGACAAGCGCATGTGCAAATCATGTTACAACGATCAACATCTGGATTCTCCAACGCAAGAGGATCCCTGGAGCTGTCCTGTAGTAGTACTGATACCACCGGTCTCTCTGTACTGAGTCTGTTGACAATGACAGTCTACACTGTACTTCAGAACTACACACTGTAACCAGTAACACAGACATGACAGGACACTGTATGTCATTTTGCGGGGTTTACCGTGGTACTCATGCCATGAGTCATGGTACTGGCACTGCAGAGTGCAGTAGACGAGTAGATCTACGCCGCGTGGCAACTGTGTCTGTGGTGAGTGCTCGAGCGTCACACACGTATCACTTACATGTATACAGCTGTAGAGAGTAGTACTTTTCGTAGAAAACTGGGTCTTTCGAGTTTTCCTTATACCGTAATAGTGGCCCCACAATCCCCCATGCTAGCTACATCCAACCAACCACCGTCTTCTGGAGACCGATGAGTTGTGATGATGGCGGTGCATACCGCGGAGGTTTGTATTATTATTATGCTCCAAGCAAGGTCACGGTCGGCAGTGCACTAGTGAAGCACACGCCTGGACAATGTGGACGCCATAATGCGAGCCGTTCTTCTAGTGTTGTGTAATACTAGTAATAGCCGATGGGTAGCACTTAACCAACTCCAGCTCTGTTGGCCTTGATGGTGCATGGCAGTAGCTCAGGTAGATTTGGGACCGGTCGAACTGCTGTACATGATTGTACAATGATGTAGGGCATCTCCATGATCGCCATTTCTGCCGACACAGACCCTTTTACAACTATTAAGTTACTTCGGCATGCGTTCAAGCGTTGCCTCGCGGAGCGGAGGCGTGTTATGTGTACTCACCAAGGTACACTGTCTGTAGCCAGCCTGTCGTTGGACATTCAACAGTCTGTGTCACAGACTGTGAGTGTGACAGTGTGTGAGTGTGAGTGTGTGGACAGCAGTAGACAGCCAGTGTAGCCTACTGCAGGACCAGTGGTGCTGTAGCTAGCCAGTCATCATCGTCTAGATCATAGACTAGACTATAGCATGTCCAATGACTACCGGTATGTGGTATCAACCAAGGATCGAGTTGTGAAACCTCGGCGGGTCTTGCGAAACGCTTGATCTACGACTCAGTACGAGTACAACGTACATGTACAAGCACAGTCCGCATAGCAAGAATTCATGACGCTGCCCACGGACATGAACATGGTTTGCAGGTTACAAGATTGTTTGGAGGTCTACTATTACTGAGTACTATGAAGTTGGTTGCTTCCCACACTGGAGCTCGCGCTTTCCCCGCCGATTTGACTTGACACTTGACTGACTCGCGGCTGCCATCCAGAGAACACGAGAAGTCCATCGAACCTTCGACTCCGCAGACCTGCAAGAAAGTACCACTCCCCGGCTCACCACATACATGTACATGTACATGTAGTGCTTCGGGGCATCTCTCATCAGTTGAGCTTGAGTAGGCCAAGGCACGCCACTTCCATGTACACAGTACAGTACACTACCGCGATGATTGTTGGTTGACAGCACGTAAGTCGTTACAGCGCAGAGGACCACCGTGTTCGGAAACAGTGTCCCTTACTACAACTATCCACGGCTGGTAGAGCCCCGGTCTTGCCACCATTTGAACTGTATGGGTGTTAGCCCTGGTTCTGTATGGGTGTTAGCCCTGGTTCCGACCCTACTGTATGGGTGTTAGCCCTGGTTCCGACCCTCGTTATACTAGGGAGTTGTTTGAGTCTTCTTGGGTTATTTTAGTTATTGTACTGTCAGTCGAGCTGAGAGAAGGACGCCACGGGCAGAAGTTGGAGAAATAGAGAAAAGAGTATAAAACAAAGGAAAGAACAACAGACTGGGATGAAGAGCCAAGGATAAATTTATAGAAAAGAAAAAAAGGACAAAGGAACCACAAGTTACACTATAATGTCCACTGACACCACCAGTTACTAAACAATCAGCTCATGGGATAACATTGCACGACACTGACCGACGGAACTGACGTTCTGCAACTAACTGGCTATCAACTCTAGCACGTCTTAGATGCGCACTCCAAGTCCAACAGCGTTCAAACTTGGAAGGTTCAAAGTTATGAAAACATAGGAGGGGAAGGTGAGCGCAACCAAGACAAGCACGAGCTGAAACTTGAAAGTCTCAGACTCTCAGCTGTGAAGGACGTAGGCGGATTATGTACATGTACATGTACAATGTACATGTATGTCGATGACGATATTGGCAAGACCATTGGACAATACGGTCAAACCACGATTCAAGGACCCAAAGCAACAAAGTAATTACGTTACATTCCACACAAGTTGTGTGGAATTGATCTCTAATTCTCCGTATCTTTGAGCCACACAAGTTGTGTGGAGTGTTGCTTTGTACCCTCCTGCCTAGGTGAACATTTGGAAACAATCGTTGTGCCTGTTGTAGCCGAGAACAGTTCGTGTGTTATGGGTTGGAGGTTTAGTGGAATTGAAAGATGACTCTGTGACAAGGCTACCATGGAGCTTGAAGCCTTCTAGTTCTCCGATACCGGCACGGTTATACATTACATGTACCGGTACATGTACAACACAATGATAACTTCGAAGCGTAGCGATGAACATGTTGCTTTGTTCGGAGCCACAAGAGCACATGACTGTTGCAGTGTTACTTGCATCGGGTCTCCAAATGTACGTTTTCAACTCCGTCAACGCAGGCGCATGAAAATGAAAAGCTGCATTATGGCGGGTCTGATCTACTCACCTCCCACCGCGGTACTGTTTGAGGAGCTGCATTTGCGCCTTGATCCTTGAAGGTTGGCCAATTGGTACAATAGAAAACTCATTAACGTTATAGAGATCTACCGTGAGTGAAGACCAATGAGTAGCTACATGTAGTTACGAGTACCTTTTGGTTGAATTATTTTAGAAGCCTTGACTGCCAATCTGGCACCTGCATGTGCATGTACATGTTCGTCTTCAAATACAGTCATGTCACATCAGTACATGCACAAGGCGTGCACTGTTGAGGGATAACGTTAAAGGGGAAGTATACCCTAAAATCAAATTTTCACCAGTTGTAGTCTTCTGGGTGCTGAGTCGAATGGTCTTGGTCCGAGGAAGCTGCGACGCTCCCTTCCTACTTGAATGCCAATCGAACTCGCGCACTTCCACCGAAACTGGGTGACTGCGCCCTACTAGATGGGGATTTGTATGCAAAATGTCACTAAAAGCGCCATTTCGTTCTTATAAAAGCACGGATGACCGCGATTGGCCCATATGTTGTAGTCTTTTGGACGCTGAGTCGACTGGTTTTGGTCCGAAAAGGCTGCGATGCAGCGTTCCTCCTTTATTCCCAATCGAACATGGTTGAACAAGCGGTCACGTGCTCCTGGGTGCCCAAATCACCTGGTCACCGCGCCAGCAGGCGACAACTTTCACACCAAGGTTCAACTCGAGTTCAACTCGAGTGACAGGACTGCACCCAAAAAAGGTCAAACAGGCTAGTAAGTTGTACCCTGCAGGCACGGTGACCAGCTGACTGGTGTACGCAGGAGCACGTGACCGCTTGTTCAACCATGTTCGATTGGGAATAAAGGAGGAACGCTGCATCGCAGCCTTTTCGAACCAAAACCAGTCGACTCAGCGTCCAAAAGACTACAACATATGGGCCAATCGCGGTCATCCGTGCTTTTATAAGAACGAAATGGCGCTTTTAGTGACATTTTGCATACAAATCCCCATCTAGTAGGGCGCAGTCACCCAGTTTCGGTGGAAGTGCGCGAGTTCGATTGGCATTCAAGTAGGAAGGGAGCGTCGCAGCTTCCTCGGACCAAGACCATTCGACTCAGCACCCAGAAGACTACAACTGGTGAAAATTTGATTTTAGGGTATACTTCCCCTTTAAGACAAAACCTTCACTTCATTGCAAGCAATGAGGCGAAAGTAGAGTCCTTGACGCCCACTGCCGGCATGCCTGGATCATGAACACGCCTGAAAAGTAGTACAATACGGATCGGCTATAGCGTTGGTGTTTGATTTTCGTGAAAATATCACTATAGGCGATATATTACTATAGGCGATATGCATACTTCGGTATGCCTGACAAATGCGTGTATGGTGTCATTCGAATCAGTGCAGCGTGCAGAAGCGTGCTGTGCATGTGACTGTACAATACGCGCCGGGCAGAGCTACTTCCTGTACTGCGGAAACAAAAACTTCGTGACTTTTTGACATGAGTTTTCAAGGAGTTGCTGTCCTCAACAAGTGTGTGTTTTTGGAAGAGAAACACTTCAACACATTCAATCGACATATGAACAATATCTACAGGATCGATTAGTGGGAGTAGAGTCTCAGTCTGGGTCACCATCGCTCAACTTATCACCGCTGAAACCGTTCCAAGTGGCAGGTCGATCGACGCGTGATGTCGTATGTCACGGAGAAGTTTCTCCGCGTCCCTGATCGTCTTCGCTGTTACCTGAATGCCTTCTCCAACATCTCGGCGGAGACCACGGTAGCGCTTCAGCGCTGGTACTCATTACCGCCTCCGATCTCGCTGGAGGATGCCCCGGAACAACAAGCACAGCCAATGCCAAACATTTCGAATTTCCTCCGAGGGATATCATAGTAGTACCAGCGCTTCCTGGCTGCCGCGATCAGATCTCGCCATGTACGATGTATAATAATTTATTATGATCATCACTATAGCCGATGAAAAATGTATGCAATAAGATCATTTTGACAAAAAAATCGTATCATTTATAATATAGCCGATACTATAGCCGATTATTACTATAGCCGATCCGATATGTATAGAAAGGGGTGGTTTACGAAAATGAATTTGAGAATACCATCACTATAAGAGGTATATTACTATAGCCGACAACCCTATAGCCGATCCGCACTGTACACGATTGTACACATCGTATCAAGAGTAAAATATTAGCGGTCAGAAAGTGCGATAACAGGGCACAAAAACTGACAGGCGTTTTCTGACCTCTCAATACTGTGCCTTGTTACACTGTCGTGAACAGTTGCTTCATAACTCTTTCCCATCTGTGCTCTTCTATTTATGTAATTAAAATGATTTCCGATACCAGTTCACACTGCAAACACCACAGAGCGCTAGCGGCTAGCACATTACTCTAGAGCTACTGTACACACATGTCATGGTGGGCCTGGCGCTTCCTGTAGTTTCGTCTCTGACTCTCTGCTACTCTTCTTCCTGGAGAAAGTTTCAAGCAAATGTGCTCTTTCGCACGGAACAGAGTCAAACTCTGAAATGTCAATCGGAATGAGCTAATGAGTACTGTGCAGCCCTGTGCTGTGGCGATTTCCCGCTTGTAAATCCATGCAAAAATTGATATGCTAGTTACATAATTGTACATGTACCTGTGTGTCATGTACAATGACATTATGTACATGTACATGTACATGAAGATCGAAGGCTTTCCTCCCCTTCACTGGCTTCAGTCCTTCGCCACTGCAGATTAGCCCTTTGTGGATAATGCTCGAACAATTGGCAGATACTGCTCGAAAAGCAGCGAAATGGGCAGAACAATACAAACCTTATGGCAGGCATTTCCTTGACTTCTGCTCTCTTTCTTTACGTCTTTATCCACATACCGAACATGATGCATGAAACATACCAGAACAAGCACTAATTTTTCTGCCGGCATTATCTGCCAAGGCAAGGGCTTCTTCTCCGCCATGCTGCTTCATGCACTGTGGGCAGTGTACCGTCGCGTGTGCATTGTGCAGTCAATGGACCCCTGCATTCTTGATTTAATAATACTGCAACAACATACCATGCATACTGATACTGATAGCACAAAGCTGGAGGTTTGTACTGATTACAGAGTGCGTCGTAAAACTCCGAGTTCCTTGCACAGTGCAATCGTCAGGCTTGTAGACAAGAGCCAGCACTGCACAAATTAAGGTCTAGTGCACTCCATAAAGGGCCCGCGGCCCCCGCGTTGTTTGGCTGTCGCTTTCATTGCCACTTTCGCCGCACCAATGCTAGGCATTATGCGGATAACGCCGGCAGAAAAATTGGCAGAATTCGGTACTTTTTCTGGTAAGTTTCATGCATGTTTGGTAAGTGGATAAAAAAATGGAGCAGAATTCGAGGAATTGCCCGCCATAAGGTTTGTATGGTTCTGCCAATTTCACTGCTTTTCGAGCAGAATCTGCCACCTTTTCGAGCATTATCCGCACATCCCTAACTAGTAGTACCTACACTGGCTACAGCTACAAGTACTGCAAATATACAAATATACAATCATGTAAGCCATGGATCCCCGGTCGTAGTGCAGAATGTACAGTACCATTGCCCTCTCTCTCCCCCCCCCCCCCCTCGCCTCCCTAGCCCTGTCAACGACGACCACCGGACCTCCCCTCGGCCCCCCTGTCAACGACGACCACCGGACCTCCCCTCGCCCCCCCCCCTCCCCTCCTCCTCCTTTAGAGGGCACATCCTCCTCCCACCAAACCTCTCCTCAAGCCAATGTATGTGCCAACGCAACATTCCTGATATAATAATAATCTTTATTTCAGGATTACCCAAAGCTAAAGGCTGACGCCTATCGGGGGGATCTCCTATTTGTGTATACAATGAACATTGGAGTTGGGAAAAAGCGAGATGCATGCTGTACAGAAGATACAGTGAAAGAACAAGCAGTGTACATGCAAATCAATGATTGCACATCAAAGACAAAGGGATACCAGTACAGTGCAGTCGAACTGATACTGAGTCTTTGCAATGTGACAGAAGTAGTTACATTGTACTTCGAAGGACAGTAAACAATGGTAAAAATTAAATAAACCTCGTGCCTCTAGGCTAGCTCTGTCCGCGAAGCTCAGTCCAGGGCCGCTTGCGCTGAGATCGGCATCTCGGAAACTACATGTATGTACTAGTAGTCACTTCAAACAATGTAGATGTACATCAGCCACTGCAGGACAGTGACCTGGTGACTGCAGAGACAAGTCTCCCGGAGTCCCGATCCCGGGAGTTGATTTTGCCACTTCTGAGTAGATCTACACATGTGTAGTACGAGTAGATCTACGAGTGCCAAAAGAAGTTGTTTCATCACACAGTCACAGGTGTGGAGACAGGCTACAGCCAAGTAAAGGAATCAAGCCTTCAACTAACTTCAACTACATGTAGTTCAAGTCAAGGAGTGCCAAGTAGGCGGGCTTCATTCAGTGTACTACGTGACTGTGTAGTGCACAGTGACAGTGTGTCTGCGTTTGTGAGTGTGCGCTTGTGTTGTTGTTGTTGTTGTTGTTGTTGTTGTTGTTGTTGTTGTTGTTGTTGTTGTTGTTGTTGTTGTTGTTGTTGTTGTTGTTGTTGTTGTTGTTTATTTTACTTCGCAGATTCTAACGGGCAAGTTGCCCAATAACAAGAAAGCGAAGGCAAAGAAAATAATACTGTTGTGCTGGTTCTGTGTTCAATTGGGCGATGCTCACTCGTACTCGTCCTTATTTTTGTTGTCTTGATCTTGAAGTAATAGTTAGTTGAAGTAACAATACCGTTTTATACGTGAATACCGTAGAATCCCGCGGATAAGCCCATGGGCTTATCTGTTTCACAAGGACATTTCGGTGGGCTTATACGAGAACATGGGCTTATACGCGGGCATGGGCTTATACGCCGACACCAAGTTGTGCTATTGAAAAGTATCACGGGAGTGAGAAGTACATTGCTGAAAACCACTGTGCAAACAAAAACAACCGATGATTGTGCTGAAATGCACGAAAAAAACTACCACGGTATATGTGCACGTACTACGTACATGGTATGGCCAAGAGTCCATAATTTATGGACTCTCGGTATGACCTAATTAATAGCTACTAGTAAGCCCATGGGGCCATGGGCTTGTACGATGAAGCTTTGTGATGTTCGAACAAACCCTGGGCTTATGCGCGGGCATGGGCTTATACGCGGGTGGGCTTATCCGCGGGATTCTACGGTATTGAAAGACTGTGCCGTTTCTACTGCACGAAAACAGATGCTATTATGCTGTGACACAGGGAAGTCTAATTTATTACATCTTGATTTCAGGATTGCCCAAAAACACCTACAATGTATCGGGGGATCTCCAGTTTGTGTGTGTGTGACATGTCAACAACAACCAGTGACGCGTGTCAGTCAGCATCCGAATATTGCAGTATGGCTGAAATGGCTGTGAATGTGTGTATATCCGATATTATGTCGACAACAACTGGTGACGTGCGTCATTTGGCATCCGAATACCGTAGAATCCCGCGGAAAAGCCCATGGGCTTATCTGTTTCACAAGGACATTTCGGTGGGCTTATACCAGAACATGGGCTTATACGCGGACATGGGCTTATACGCCGACACCAAGTTGTGTATCAAGGAAGTGAGAAGTACATTGCTGAAAACCACTGTGTAAACAAAAACAACCGATGATTGTGCTGAAATGTACGGAAAAAAACTATAATGTGCACGTAGGTCTACTATGTACATGGTATGGCCAAGAGTCCATAATTTATGGACTCTCGGTATGACCTAGGCCCATGGCCATGCGTAGATCTACGATGAAGCTTTGTGATGTTCGAACAAACCCTGGGCTTATGCGCGGGCATGGGCTTATACGCGGGTGGGCTTATCCGCGGGATTCTACGGTACTCGGTAGTTGAAGTAGATGATAGGTGAACATGGTGAACAACGTCTTCATTCAAACACTTCCAGAAAGTCGGTGTGCCGGAACTCAGACTCTGAGCCTGTCGACGTGTACGTGTCGTGTTAGTGTTATTGTGTGTCCGTGTGTGTCGGGCAAGGCTTGAAGCGGCTGCGTTCACCGCTCAGCTGGTCAGCTTCCTGGCTTCAACGAAACAAACCTGTTGAGTGCGGGTCCTACTAGCATTTGAAAGAGTAGCCCCTCTGCGCCAACATCAACCCCCAGCTCTCTCGTGCCGGCGGAGAACTAGAGCTCAGTAATAATTCTTTTGTTGACCTTGGAAGAACAGCGATGGAGCAGAGCGTGCTAGCGGCGATGCGGCCGGTGCTTGCGATACTTGTGCTCGGTAAGTCGGACCTTGCTGGCGATGTTATTAGTACAGTGTAATAATAATGTCATGCGAGTGGCCGTGAAGTTCACTTAGCTTGTGTTTCCGAGTCGGTCAAGCGGAGCTGCGGGGTGCGTGTGTGACGCCGTACATGTAGTTTTGGTAGTTTTGGTGCTGGCGCTGCAGCTCCAGGCTGCAGTGTCAGAGCACCATCCTGACATTTCGCCGGCAAGTACATGACTTCTTTGTACAATAGCTGCCGCGCGTTCCGCGTGGGGCTTGTGGGCCCTGTCGGGTAGGCCCAGCAGACAGAATCTGCTCCACTCGTCTGGAATGTTGCTGCGAAATCAATATTTTGCGAGCCTGGCACTAGAAACCCGATGCCATGCTTTGCTCCATTTTGGTCCGGAAAACGTGTATTTTATCCACTTCCCCTACAACGTTTCATAAAAATCCACCGGTTGGTTTCCAACACGGGTTTTCACACACGGGTCCCTGGGTTCTTCCGAAATCATGTCGATCCACAGTGAATCCCAGTGATATTCAGTGACAAGATCGCGTCCTGGGCAGTGTATCCTGCAGAATGTTAATACATAATCTCTGGGACTTGAGAAATGTTATGTATTGACGGGGTTTATGTACTAAACGAAAGTGTACATAACCGGCTTGCTTGTGTACCAGAATTTTTCACTTTTTTCTACTTTTCTGAGTGTTTCTTGCTACCATGAGGCATGACTGGGGAGCGAGATATTCTTGATTCCCTCGATATAACATAAAAATTATGTTATAACGGACACAGTCGGCGAAGATTCTACAGTTTAGTGACATGATACATGCCCAGCCGCGTCTGTACAGTCACTCAGAAAAAAAGAGCTTTGTCGGTTTGTGATGCGCGCTCTGATTTCTGAGCTAATTGCGTCCACAAGTAGAAACTAGAACACGATGTGCCTCCACTGGAAGGCCAAAAGACCAACAAATTATGTACTATTGAGGTAGGTGGCATGCGGATACGGAGAAATGTTATGTACTAACGGGGTTTATGTACTAACGAATTATGTACTAACCAACAACATTTGTATGGAAGTGACCACGTTTCGTCCGGGACTTGAGATTTCTTATGTACTAACCGGACTCGTATTAACGGGGGACGACCTGTATCAGGCATCGATTTTACCCGAAATCTCGATATTTTGCTCAAATTTTGCCGGCAATTTCCGTTTTTTCAATTCTTCGATATTTTGCCAAAAGAATTGCCGGCAGAATCTGTCTGGGCCTACTGTAGGGTCCACCTGGAAATGCCGGCATTATATTGGGCATTATGCCCCTTAGACTAACAGAGCATCAGAGCATTAGAAAGGAAGAAAGCGAGCATTTTGTGAGATTTGAGCGGCATTTGAAATTTTTTGCAGTAGATAATTTCAGGAAATCCCAGCTTTTTGGAATCAATCTTCTTGTAATGAGGTACATGACTGATTGCACTACTTGTACGTGTGCCCAACCAACGCAGTTACTTGTACGTGTGCCCAACCAACGCAGTTACTTGTACGTGTGCCCAACCAACGCAGTTACTTGTACGTGTGCCCAACCAACACAGTTACTTGTACGTGTGCCCAACCAACGCAGTTGCACAAATCCTAAAAAGGACGTACAAGGAGGAAACGTTTTTGTCGAAAACAAAAAAAAGCCATGGAGGAGGCGCGAAATGAATATCCAACAGTCGAAGAGGAGTTTTCTCATTGTACCTCAGGCTCTGACGATAGCGTCTCTAGGCTAGTAGTAGTAGTAGCAATACTGAAGTAGACACCGATCTTTTCGTAAATTTGGACCAGGCTGAAGGAGCACCTATAAGCAGGAAGAGATACATGTAGTCCCAACGAACTGCCTTTGCCGAGTCCAGCTGAGCTGGCTCGACAAGATCTACAATTACTCATGGATTCAGTACCAAGTCGATATGAAGAGCACCCGTGTGCAGCAGCAGAGCCTGAAACATGTACAGTTACATGTAGATGTGGACAGCTGTACACTCCAGACAGCAGTCAAGTGCTATCACCAAAGAAGAGTATTCTTGTGGCAGATCATTTGTCCACAGAACACCACAAGGAGAAGAAGACTGCACAAGGAGAAGAAGACTGCACAAGGAGAAGAAGACTGCACAAGGAGAAGAAGACTGCACAAGGAGAAGAAGACTGCACAAGGAGAAGAAGACTGCACAAGGAGAAGAAGACTGCACAAGGAGAAGAAGACTGCACAAGGAGAACTTGGGAAGACTGCACAGGGAGAAGAAGACTGCACAGGGAGAAGAAGACTGCACAAGGAGAAGAAGACTGCACAAGGAGAAAAAAAGCACAAGGAGAAGGAATTAGAGCAGCAACATACTGTACAATTACACTAGATACTCTAGATACTAGAGACTCGGTACTCTAGATACTAGATACTCTAACAATTTTATCAAACATTATGATAATTACCACATCAAATGCTGCGGAGACCTATCCAGAATCGGCAATATGCTGGCCCTGGCCTGGAGATCTGCAACTATAATCAGCTTCTACTTTGCAACACTAACGGATTAGTCCCCTTTGTCGATTGATGGATCAATCGGTAGATTCGGCTCTGTTTTTCTTCCCTTTCTTTCTTGTTTTGAATTGTACGTTGAACTCATTGGATTTCTTTGTATTCTGTATCTCGTTATCGTTATATTTCCCTCTAGCCCTCTCGCTTAGGATGAGCTTTCTTTTTTATGGCAGCTTAAGCGAAGGCTATATACCTGCTTTATGCAGGTTGATGCCAACGCGAACAAGCAAAATAATAATAATAATAATACATACTGTACAAGTACAAATTTTCGTTCACAGATTCTTTCGTTTTTGTTTCACTCCACCAGCCGGTATACAGCAGCTATTTTTCGGCTACCGGGTATATTCGGCACCGACCTAAACCATGTCGAAAATCGTGAAATGCCAACATTTTTGCGGCACCGACACTTTCTATATTTACAGTACCTTGCCCCGGGCCCCCTCCCCCGGGCCCCCTCCCCCGGGCCCCCTCCCCTCCGGATACCTTCATGTAGACAGGGTTCTTGCCGGCAGCCTGACCGGTAGGTAGTTCACTGTCCCAGAAAGACATGGTGCAGTTCGATTCTCGCCTTTTGCAGAAAGTGTACGCATCGATACTTCGTAATGCCGTCCAGGTTTCAAACAAAAAGAACAAAAAAAGAGCGTGCTCCCAGCAGGGCTCGAACCTGCGACATTCGCGTTATTAGCACGACACTCTAACCGACTGAGCTATGGGAGCTCATTGGAAATTCTGGCATGTGCTGAGCTTTGTGGTTACTAGTAACCTAAACTATTTACTTCCATCATGTAACGGTGCATCAAGATACGTCCAGGGACTGCATGTATGTATGGGTCGAATGCATGTTTGTTTTTGTAAGTACTGCACAGTCAACTTTGCGTATAACGACACTCGGCGGGGCATCAGAAAGGTGTCCTTATTCGCGAAGTGTCCTTATACCCGAAGTCTCATTATATGTATTACAGTTAGGTGGGACTTTGCTCTGGGCAGGGAAATTCTGTCGTTATTTGCGAATTGTCGTTATATCCGCAGCCATTATTAGCAAAGTTGACTGTATGTATATGTTTAACTCGGATGGAGAGCCAAGGATTAAAATTAAAAAAAGAGGACCAAAAGTTTACAAGTTATCCGTTTTGTCCAACACTAACGATTATAAGCGGAATACTGTTGAGTCAAAAATGTGCAACAATTAGCACAAAACTGACTGATGAGATCACGACATTCAACGACCTGATGCTCAGCTGCATCACGTCTAGAATGCGCAAACCAGCAGCCTTCCAACTTGGAAGGTTCTAAGTTATGAAGTAACGTAAGAAAGGGGAAGGTGAGCGCACTCTAGACGAAAACAAGCTAAACATCACAGCGAACTGAGAATGTTAGCTATGACAAGATGGTGATGAAGGACGAAGGACCACGGCACAGGACGGCCTCAAGTTTCCAAGTTGGAAGGCTGCTGGTTTGCGCATTCTGGACGTGATGCAGCTAAGCATCAGGTTGTTGAAGGTCATGATCTCATCAGTCAGTTTTGTGCTAATTGTTGCACATTTTTGACTCAACAGTATTCTGCTTATAACCGTTAGTGCTGGACAAAACGGATAACTTGTAAACTTTTGGTAAATATATGTGTATTTAGTATTTCGCTCCTGCTCTTGTAGCAGTTGAGCACTCTTGCGTGGGGTAGTGCCTTTGCTGTTTGCGTTATGCAGAGCTCACTGACTTGTCAGTTTGAGCACTCTGGCAAGGTACGTTCGGGCCTGATTGGAAATTTTTATTTTCATTGCTATCAGGTTCGGCCTCATTTTCTCTGTGCTGCGCTGATGAGTTCAAAAAGAACGAAACAGCATGCTGTCCGCAGATTGAGTATTTCGCTCCTGCTCTTGTAGCAGTTGAGCACTCTTGCGTGGGGTAGTGCCTTTGCTGTTTGCGTTATGCAGAGCTCACTGACTTGTCAGTTTGAGCACTCTGACAAGGTACGTTCGGGCCTGATTGGAAATTTTTATTTTCATTGCTATCAGGTTCGGCCTCATTTTCTCTGTGCTGCGCTGATGAGTTCAAAAAGAACGAAACAGCATGCTGTCCGCAGATTGAGTATTTCGCTCCTGCTCTTGTAGCAGTTGAGCACTCTTGCGTGGGGTAGTGCCTTTGCTGTTTGCGTTATGCAGAGCTCACTGACTTGTCAGTTTGAGCACTCTGGCAAGGTACGTTCGGGCCTGATTGGAAATTTTTATTTTCATTGCTATCAGGTTCGGCCTCATTTTCTCTGTGCTGCGCTGATGAGTTCAAAAAGAACGAAACAGCATGCTGTCCGCAGATTGAGTATATGTGTATTTATTATTATTATTATTATACTGTAAAGGCCATTATTCTAACTGTGTGTGCATGTGTGTCCATGTGTGTCTGCGTGTGTATGTGTGTGTGTGTGTATGTGTGTGTGTCTGCGTGTGTATGTGTGTGTGTGTGTGTGTGTGTGTGTGTGTGTGTGTGTGTGTGTGTGTGTGTGTGTGTGTGTGTGTGTGTGTGTGTGTGTGTGTGTGTGTGTGTGTGCATGTGTATATGTATGTTACTCTACTTGCAGCTCTGTGCACGCTCAGCACTGGTGCGATGGCTGACACCTGCACATGGGATCTGGAGGAGCGCAAGCTGACATGCCCGCAAGCTATCATCAACCAGCCGGCCGCTGGCCTTGCTGCGCTGGTAAACTACACACGCTGCTGCTCCCTGGAGACACCCCCGTACATTGAAGCGTTTGTTCTCGGCGGGAACCTCGGCACACCGGCATGTTGCGTGGAGCGGCTACCGACCTACACAAGCCTGGCCAACACTCCACCTGCCCTGGAAGCAAGGCTGCAGGGAGCCGCTGTTAACGACAGTCAAGGTAAGAACTGTATGCCAGTAGAGCTCGAAGCAGCGCCTCGTGCCCTGGGCTAGTCTCTCTCTCTATATGTGTTGCCGGCTGCGGAGACTTCAGTCTCTCGCACCCAGACCATGATCCAGTCAAAATACGTTTGCATGCTTTCGATGGGACAGTCAACATCACGGACTTACCAGTCGGATCAAACTCTGGAAGATAGCACCACTTTTATTTCTTTGTCGTATAGAGAGAATATGCACGTGCCCTTGGACCCAAAGTCCTGGCGCCATACGGCGGGGTTTCGCTGCTTTTCGCCCCGCGCTTTTCCAGGGTATAAATGTTTGCTTGTACTGCCGTTGATTGTCCCTACGTCGTCTTCAGCACCGAAACCTACTGGCCATGTGTATTTTCACGGAGGTGAGATGCTTCGGTCCACTTCGACGAGTGACTGTTAAGTCAGGATACCACAGTACTCGTATAGGGATTTTCTCCGATTGAATATTCCAGTAAAGACTCGAATGGAGAACGAATGATTAATTTGTAGCAAAGAAAAGGACCTAGGAACTACAGTACACGTTACGCTATAATGTCCACTAACACCACCAGTTATTGCAATGTTATCGCATGACCTGATTGTCAAGTAACTAGTGGTGTTAGTTAGGCGCGTGCCCCGTATGGGTTCCTGGGTGCCCGGAACCCCCCCCCCCCCCCTTTCGCTCAAAATTCAGGATTTTGCTTCATTTTTGAAAATTTTCCCGAGGGAGGCCCCCCGGAACCCCCCCCCCCCCCCCTTTGAAGGGCACCGGCGCACACGCCTGTTAGTAGACGTTATAGTGTACTGTGTAGTTCCTTGGTGCTTTTCTTTACTGTGATTATTCCAGCATGCGTATTTGTCTCCGGCGAAGTGCGTATACAAAGCTTTACACTCGCATAGTACAACCCAGATTGAACCGATTGGTGGCCATTATCTAGAGTATATTGATTGATGGCCGGGTCGGTTGGGAGCTCTCTATTCCTGAATCAAAGTTCACAGCACAGCCGCTGCACATTACTATCTACTGACCACTGCCCTGAAACTGCCGGTTCCTGCATACCGCGGTAAATGCATGAACAATGCCTGAACGAGTACTTTGATATATTCCGAGTACTAATACCTGTGCAGCTGAATATTTAAAAAGCAATGAATAGCTACTTCGAAGTATGTGCGCACTCATAGCACAATCATAGGAACGAATAAATGATTCTAGGACGTTCTGGAATCATGTATTTGTTGCTATGAAGTATGATTGTGATATGAGTGCGCACATAGTTTTACTCGTTCCTTTGTTTCAGGTTATCGTCTCCACGTCACCTATGCAGCTATTTTTCAACAACAAAAAACAAGCGAGTATTGAATATTTGGTATGTTTGTTTCTCTCCTACAGTCCTACCAACGTATATGCAAAAATGCCATATGCGCAGTTTATGTGACGAGGCTCTCTCTTTCTTGATCAATCGATTAACAGTGATCGACCAAGGACTACTTGGTTACATGAACTTAGCTGTTGTGATGTTGTGTATTCGTGCGTGCGTGCGTATGTGTGTGTGCGTACGCGCATGCGCGGTTGTGGTGGCTTGCGCAGGACCTACTCAAGGTTATGTGCAGCTGACAGGCGCGGTTCTACTCACAGATGCTGTTGATACTGGTGATTCTGGATTGGAGGCAGTGTAAGTACAGTAGGTATCGGTTATAGCGTGGGTGTTTGAAAAACGACTTTCTATTCTTATTTCCGATATTTCTTACACACGATAAATCAAGTGTGACATAATTATCATGTGCATGTGCGCAGAGGCAGGAAGATCATCGTACATACAAGGTGGTGCTACTGTGCATGCGGCTGGTCACAGTCACATACCATGTGGCTATGCAACATTAGTTACATGACCACAATAGTTGAACCTGCAGCACTAGGAGGACCCAACGCGAGTCAGATCAGAACTGCTTTGGACGGATGTTATTACTACAGGCGATATACTTTGTACTGATCTGGCATGTTTCGCTACACAGATTCCATTCTTAGGACCGATATATTCTACTGTACGATAAAATTGCTTGTAAGAATAAATGTGCACATGAAATCCATGTTATGATTATGAAAACATGAGAGTTCATTCTTGTAGGCAGTATATTCTTTTACACGACCACGCTATAACCGATACGCACTGTACTAAGAAATACACGTGTGTGGGGTGGGTGGGTGGTGACTGTGTGCATAGCTGTGTACACGGCGGGGTGCGCTGTGTGCATGTATGTGTGCATGGCTGTGTGTGTGTGTATGCATACTTGTGCACACTTCACGGTTGTATTCACTGTTCTGTGCATACTGTAAAAGCAGACATTTTCGGTGGTGTTTTATTTTCAGTTACTTCGGTGCCGAAATGTTTACTGAAAATGTTGGTACTAGTGCTAGTACACTTACCTGGAAAACGGGTTTACCGAAAATTTCCCTCCACCCAACCGCCGATTTTGGAGAATAGAGAAGTTAAGATGCACGTTATTTCTGACGCGACGCGAAAGTTCAGCTTGCGTTATTTGGCTCGCACGTCGAAAAATCAACGCGAGTGACCTGCTGCTCACGTCAAAATTTGGAGTTTTACGCCAAATTTGACGTGAAATTGCGCGTCACGTCGGAAATAACGTGCACCTTAACCTCTCCAATACCGAAAATAATACACCGCCGAAAATGTCTGTTTTTACAGTTCACAGTTTTGTGCACGGCTATGTCCACTGCAAGCTACCAGTCACAGTTGTGTGCACAGCTATGTCCACTGCAAGCTACCAGGACAGTGCTGGTCTGCGAAATTCGCCTCCATGATCTCAATGGAAATACGTGATACCAAGAGTACATAACCCCCCAGAGTGTGCAACGTCTGATCCAGCTCTGCATAGGGTCTTGGTCGAGCGTAATCGGATCTTTGCGTCATAATACCGTACACATCTGAGGGGAACCCGGGGAGTCGCGGGTACTCTCAGATCAAAAACAATGGTGCCCTGCCTAGAGACCGGCCTTGCGCTGGTGTGGAGTGTACGCATGACATCAGAAGATCCGATTCCGCTCGACCAAGACCCTATGCAGAGCTGGATCGGCGTTGCACACTCTGGGGGGTTATGTACTCTTGGTGATAGCGAGTGCTGCTCAACCTTACCACTACTGTATAACATGTAGTTTTAGGTGTACTCAAATTTCGGTGTCCGAGACCTGCCAGGTTTCAGGTGTACTGTAGAATTAGGTGACCAGCCGACCTTTCACATACAGTGCATACTCTAGCGCCGTTTAGGTGTAATCTAAATTTAGGTGCCTGGTTTCTCTGCCGAAGTTACCGAAATTAAAACTGCACCGAAATAAACGTGTTATACACTACGTTCGCCGTTTCACCCGGCATGTGTGCACTCAAATGGACAGTAGTGCCGGCAGTGGCCCGGCACACTATATTCACCACCGGGGTGACACCCACTGGTCGGTACACGTGTACTTGCTACTGGCTATAGGTGTGTCAGCGCTATTGGGCTCAGTGGGTTGAACCAGTGAAATCTGTCTTGAAAGGACATCCTAGCGAATACAGCCCCCACCCACCGGGGAAATACAGTGGGACCTGGCGGACTACAGTGGAACAGGGGAATACAGTGGGACCTGGCGGACTACACTAGACTACAGTGGAACAGGGGAATACAGTGGGACCTGTATGTGGAATATTGTGTGGCCTGGGTGGCTGTGCATGTGTGTGCGTGTGTGTGTGTGCGTGTGGTGTGAGAGAGGGGGAGAGACGGTGAGGGGTATATGGTGCGGCTCAATGGTCAGTTGGGTCATGTTTCGCGTGGAGATTCCTTACCGTGCTCTCACTCAATCACTTTTGTTTCTGTCTCTGTCTCTCCCACTCTCTCTCTCTCTCTCTCTCTCTCTCTCTCTCTCTCTCTCTCTCTCTCTCTCTCTCTCCCCCCCCCCCCCCCCACACACACACTCTCTCTCCCCCCCCCCCTCTCTTTCTCTCTCTCTCTCTCTCTCTCTCTCTCTCTCTCTCTCTCTCTCTCTCTCTCTCTCTCCACAGGGAGATAGCTGGCATTGTTGTCACCTGTATTGGTGGTCTGATACTGTTGCTTATCATCATCTATGTCTTTGTCACCTTGAGTCGCAGCAAGGACAGCGACGACCGACCACAGTCGCAGAAAGAGAAAGAGGCCGAGGCAGACGGCCGCGGTTCGCCGTACGCAAAGCGGAAGTCAAAGTCGCGCACCAACCTGGTGTGCTTCTCATCCACAGCCGTTTGAGTCGGTGTCCTTCCACAGCTCAATGGTCTGTCTACATGGCCTCCGCAGTTGCTCAGATGACGCTCGGTCTAAACTTTCGGTACTGTTGTGCAGCATGCAGTCACGTCCACTTGATGAAATGTCGTGACACACCGAGCGATGACTTCACGGTAATGTGCCAATCCTACCCTGTACACTACATGATGATTTTCAAACACTTGCCCAGTGTATCCATGGACACGAATGTTGCCATGGATTCGCTACAAGCACGACTACTGACCATCTCTAAGCTAACTAACCGCCTGATGTCCATTGCATTGTTACTACTAGTATAAACTGCACTTTGCATAGAACCCTGCGCCCTATGATTCGCTCTCATCTAAACTGGACTATTTCAATGACTTCGCTCACCACCATGTACCAGTACTACCCCCCCCCCCCCCCACGCACACACACCCTTGAGGAATAGAAACATGTACACGTAGACGTTCTGCTGTATTACCGCTGGCGTTAGGGCCTGTCCGTGCAGCTCAGCCATCATTCAAGAGTTCCCACACAGACCTCCTAGCATGCTGCAGCTTCTGGCCTTTAGTGGCATGATGCATGCTTCTCGGGCGTCTGACCCCGTTCCATAGAAATGATGATATGCATGCATGCAGGCGCGCAAAGAGGGCCTGTCCTCTTCTTAGTGCATATACGCTTGCCGGAATTGCACAGTGCATACAGAAACATACACGATCAATGCAGAATTGCCACTTTGACGTGCTAGGAAAATAATACTGCATGTTCTGTTTTTAGACATAGAGTTGTGATGCATTCTAACTGGCTGCTGTAGAAGGATTTTTTCAATTTGATTTTGCCGCTAGATATCACACACTTCACGATTCTCCTATCATGAACTCACTCCTGGATTGCATCTCTTTTGCGCTTCTCGCACTTGCTTGCCGGGCAGAATGAGCCATGCTCCAATTATTTGTGACGTCAATGATAACTTAGTAGGAGTGGCGAGGCTTCCTGCAGCTTCATTCATAGGAAATGGTTTAGAGCCGGCACGCTCGGCACGCTCTTTCCCATTCACTCTGCCACATTGACAGCTTGGCTTATTTCTTTGTTCGTCGACTATAGTCGATAGCTACCAGTGCTGCTACTGACTTTCCGAACACTGGCTATCATCGCTCGCTCATTTAGCTATCACTCTCGCCTCCTGCTCTTTGGAATATGATATAGGCAACATGTGCATAATGTTCGTCAGTTGATGATTGTTTGGTGTGCTGGTAAGTGTGGTGCTTGGGAAACGAGCGGTTTGGGATTCTGATCCTGGCTGTTGCATTGGAGAACTGAAAAAGAGAAGAAAAAAAGGGAAAAGACAAAGGAACAAAGCATTTGAGATGGGCGTGTGGGTGGGTTCGTTTCTGTTTTATTTTATGCCCTGGTCTCCCCTGGGGGACAAGGGCACAGCCACTCAGGCCAGTCAGGGGCCACGGGGGTGTCCCCGGGTGGGCCTGGCCATGCTTTGGTTGGTCTCTCAAGCCGAATGCCACTTTCTCTTTTGCACGTGCTGCATCACCCACCTTCCTCCCTTTTTCTACCTCTAGAGATATAGGGGTTCTAGGGCTAGTGCCGATCATCACGAAAGCCGTCTCCGTGGATACCACTGCACTGATGGCGCCGATATCGCGGCCTAAAAATCAAGTGCAGGAGATAAGTGATTGATTTGTACGGAAGCAGCACTTCTGATCAGCTGGAAAACACGATGTGACGGCAAATGTCTGCCGTGCATCCAAAATGATCCATTTCCATGGTGAATGGATTCCGTGGTGATCACTGCCATGGAAACAGCACAGGAACCACGGTCTAGCCTATGGGCCATCTAGTACGTGCAGGCCGCCGGAACACAACACCATACCCACACGCACATCAGACCATTATAGGACACCAGACATTGGACTCTACGAGACAAGAACCAAATACAACACCGTGCGCAAATCCTACTCGCAACAACAATGTGGAGCATTCATGGAACAAGAAGCAGCCCTGCTCGTGCTCATACGCAGCCATGTACATGTACACTAGCTCTCTTGGCGGATAATGCTCAAACAATGGCACGTATTCATCTAAAATGGCGGACGCCCACGCTGCATACATGGTATGGGCGCACGTGAGCCACGCTGTGGGGACACTTGTTCGATTCCGCATACAAATGTATACAAATGCGTGGAAAAGAAGTTTCTCTAATCGCTGGAACTTGTGAGTTTCTTTCGATACAGACTACTGGTCTTCAAGGTATACAATAGTAGTGACCCAACGAAGTGGAATTTGCGGAATACAACGTTCGAGACGGCTCAACAAGTCAAGAGTAATGTGCGAATTTACTATGTACGCAAATGAGAAAACCTACTTGTTTCCCCGCAGCGCTAGTCACGTGCGCCTTCAGTGAATACGTGCCATTGGCTGGTTCTGCTTGAAAGGCAGTGAATTTGGCAGAACCATACCGTAAACCGTATCACTTCCTTGAATTCTGCTCCATTTCTTTATCCACACACCAAATTAATAACTGTAACATGCACTGTAACATGCACTGTAACCATGGTAACATGCACTGTAACATGCACTGTAACATGCACTGTAACATGCACTGTAACATGCACTGTAACCATGGTAACATGCACTGTAACATGACACGAAACACAATACCAGAAAAAGTACCAAATTCTGACACTTTTTCTGCGGGCCAAATTAGACTCACACATTCTCTCTCAAAGTAATCCCTGAATAGCTCAGCAATCTCTTCTTCAGTATAAGTATAATGTAATACATTTGCCTCTGGTGTTGTACCCTCCCACTAGCTGTTCTATCAGAGGCATATCTGCATGTGCTCTCCATTCATTTCTCTCTCTCATGATTACATTATTCCCATATCCAAACTATTCTCTTCCAATTGTCAGCAAACCACAACGCAATCACTTAGACATACCGACACAACGATTTACTTTTCCAACTCCAGAAAACGGTATATTCACTGGGAATAACTACCCTACTGTTCGCACTGTAAGCCGCACTTTGAACACTCAAAAGACAAGTGGTTACGTGCTTCTGCGTACACCAGTCACCTGGTCACCGCGCCAGCAGGCGACAACTTGCACACCAAGGTTCAACTCGAGTTCAACTCGAGTGACAGGACTGCACCCAAAAAAGGTCAAACAGGCTGTAACCTGCACCCTGCAGGCACGGTGACCAGGTGACTGGTGTACGCAGGAGCACGTGACCGCTTGTTCGACCATGTTCGATTGGGAATAAGGCCCGAACGCTGCATCGCAGCCTTTTCGGACCAAAACCAGTCGACTCAGCGTCCAGAAGATTACAACATATGGGCCAATCGCGGTCATCCGTGCTTTTATAAGAACGAAATGGGGGCTTTAAGTGACAATTTGCATACAAACCCCCATCTAGTAGGGCGGAGTCACCCAGTTTCGGTGGAAGTGTGCGAGTTCGATTGCGAACAAAGGAGGAAGGGAGCGTCTCAGCTTCCTCGGACCAAGACCATTCGACTCAGCATGCCGAAGACTATAACTGGTGAAATTTTGATTTTAGGCTTAACTTTCCCGTTAACAGTGGTAAATACAGTCAACTTCGCTTATAACGACACTCGGCGGGGCATCAAAAAGGTGTCCTTATTCGAAGTGTCGTTATACCCGAAGTCTCATTATATGTATTACAGTGGTATGGGACTTTGCTCTGGGCATGGAAATTCTGTCGTTATTTGCGAATTGTCGTTATATCCGCAGTCGTTATTAGCCAAGTGGACTGTAGATGTCTGTATTTCGTGGCAAAAAGGGGGGGGGGGGGGGGGTGGGGGGTGCGGCTTATACTTCGGAAAATACAGTACCTCTGCCCCGGGAGAATCCGTAAATAGAATTACAGAACTGTACACCTTTGTTCGGTTTGTTGTTTGACATGAGCGCCAGTTTAATTTTGTTCATAGCTATTTTACGATTATTATCTCCAATCTCCACGTAGACTATTTACAGAATTGTACTTTATAGTTTAAGCGCCTAGGCTAGGGTGATATCCACTCACATACCTTTTCATGCATCCATGCAGCGCCCCGAGTTGTATCGGCCCATATCCACCTCATATTGTACAGTCGATCTCAAATTCTGAGAATTCGTGGAAGACGCGTTTTGACAACCGATGCCGTGATCAAGGCAAGATAAACAAAATTAATGTGAACACTGAACATCACCCTACAAAAATATTTGTAGATATTGTAGGTACAGCTAACTTCGCTAATAACGACTGCGGATATAACGACAATTCGCGAATAACGACAGAATTTCCATGCCCAGAGAAAAGTTCATTCTACCTGTATACAATCAGTCATAATGAGACTTCGGGTATAAGGACACTTCGTCGCGAATAAGGTATACCAAGAGTCAAGCCGCTTTATGTGCTCTTGACTGTACCTATATAGGCCTTATGCACATTGTACAGATGCACGAAATCCCGTATAATCTTGTAGAATCCCGTAGACCCGGTTGGGTGTTGAATGTGCAGGACCCTATTGTGTTTACTGCTATTTCCACTATGAAATGGGCCATGAAAGCATTTCATACGAAATCTTTTTCCGGCAGAGATCTAGCTAGTCGTTAGTTCAATCCCAAAGTGAAGAAGGCTTGAAAAGTGATCGTTTGCCATGAATTGTGAGGCTAAATGGGTCAAACGCGCATGTATAGCACACAATGAACACCCAACCGGGTATGTACACACCTACGGCCATAGTACAGAACTTCGTACATCTGTACAATGTGCATAAGGACTATTGTACTAGTCCCTGGTACTACTCCCTGCTACTACTCCCTGGTACTACTCCCTGGTACTACTCCCTGGTACTACTCCCTGGTACTACTCCCTGGTACTAAGGCTGTACTCCCTTGTACTACTCCCTGGTACTACTCCCTGGTACTACTCCCTGGTACTACTCCCTGGTACTACTCCCTGGTCTTAGTCCCTGCTACTACTGCCTGGTACTACTCCCTGGTACAGGTCTGCTCTCGATATAACAACTCTCACTTGTACGTAAACCTCGCTAGTAGGTAAAAAAATCAAATCCCGCACCGAAACAGCATCAGCCATCACTCCCATACAAATTTTGTTCTGCACAACGTAATCCTACATAACGTGAACCTTGACATAACGCACGCTACGGCGCGGTCCCCGACGTACGCACTCTCGATACAACATAGATTCACATGCGCGGTACGATCAAGCTGCAGCTGTAGCTAGCCAGCGTAGTCCTACATAACGTAAACCTCGACATAACGCACGCTACAGTCCATTCACAAAAAGATGGGCCCTGGCTCTGGCGAGCTCCCGTATTTGGCGATTTTTGAAGATTTTATCGTACACGTTGCAGTGCTGCGAAAATTGAAATTTGAGAAAGGGTCCAAAGAGGGTACCTGAACTGGGGTTCGAACCGCACAATGCACTGGTGCAGGCAGGGTCAAACGGCCTAGATTTTGATGGTTTTTCCCAATTCAGTGCTCTTGGGGCAAAACCTGGCCGAAATCCTATTCTTGCTACGGCTTGCTTTTTGGAGAAATAGACTTCAGAAACATAATTGGAAGAGGATTCCATAGGGGATTGCAGAAAAAATTCTAAAAAAACTCTCAAGTTTTGACCCATTTATGGCCAAAAGCTAGAAGTCCATCTTTTTCTGAATGGACTGTAGGGCGCGGTCCCCGACGTGCGCACTCTTGATACAACGTAGATTTACGTGTGCGGTACGATCAAGCTGTAGCCGTAGCTAGCCAGTTTAGAACTATTGTGCATATATTCTGCAGCATTGATTGTATCTGAAGTCGGTGGTGGTACAGTGTGTATATGTTTGCATGGTTAAACCCGCCTTGTAATACCCTTCATTTTGAGGTACATCTTGTATTTTACACACGGTTTTCTCCATAACATAACTCTCGATATAATATAATTTTTGCGTGGTCCCAGAGATTACGTTACTATATGGAGAGTAGACCTGTACACGGTCAGGGTCCACACATACTGACCATAGCCATTTCAGGGAGGAAAGAAATCATGTACTATATAAATTGTAGTAGGCCTACATGTTGACTGCACATGTACCGTACTCACTCGACCAGAAGCCCCCTCCACCCCCCCCCCCCCCCCCCCCCCGGGCCCCCCGCCCCACCACAACGACCGTTCGAAAAATAAAATACAAAACACCTCTCGCCCGGACTACTAT